TGTATGTTTTGAAAACATCTTGAGAAACTTACTTGAAACCACCAGTTTGGTGCCCGAGCCAAAGTACTTTACTCCATACTCACATCATTGAAATCCTCTACAAAAACTAATGAATTATCAAGTTATGAATTTCATAAGAATAAAATTCTGAAGTTCATATTTTTAATACAAAGGTCACAATCTAAAGTAGGCTTGCTGTCAGCCACTTAACTGTGTGAGTATTCAACTGAGTTTATGCGCTTTGTGAATTCCTGTGCCACCTGCTACCAAAAATGTGTTTTGCTCCTTGACATACATCACCACATGGCAAATTGAGTGGGGTGATTTCCTGGTCACCACCCAATTCCATTAATATCAGTGGATGAGCAGGATTTAGTCCTGTGATCTCCAATGTGCCTGGATGGGAAGGATGGTTTTGTGGTTAAAGCATCGGAGAGAGACTCAGGAGATTTGCCTTTTCTTTTCTGGCTCTCCCTCTCTGCCCTTGGGCAAATCACAATCTCTGTGCTTCACTTTACATCTTAATGTATAGTTTAGAAAATGACACTTACTAGACAATCTATTATAAATACTGTTATGTACTCAACATTAACTAGCATTTATAGTATTGATTGGACTGTTTAAGTAGCTTTAATCTGATAAAGAATATTACACACAAAAGGGAAAAGATACTTTCTGTAAAAACACTTACTGAGAACCTGAAGACTGTTGCACCTCAGGCAATTTTCCTTCGTTAATCATCGTACACTGATATAGTCCTAACAATAACAAACTTTTTAATAATCTCATACCTGCTAAATTGAAACCTGTGCTGTGAATTTTGCACTTGCTGGCATTTGGACATAATTTTAAATGTAAATCTCTCCATTTCCCTCCTTCCTGATTCTTAACACCTATTCAGTAAATATTCCAGTCTTTTACTCTTGTATTCACTTTATTATTAGGATTATATACTGCCCTCAGTGAACCCCTTGGTGTCCTTGGGAGTTCCATACACAGGTCAAGAGCAATACACGGATTATGTGCAAATTCCTTTTTTAATATTCATTTATTCGGTCCAATTTTTTTGTCCCTTGATTCTATTTACCGAAAGAAAAACAATCAAGAATAAAAATACTTACCAGAAACAACTAATTTGGTTCCTGTGCCAAAGTACTTGATCCAGCTTGAAGTATCACATTGACTTTTCATTTTACAATAAGCTGTGGTACTTTACTTATGCTGCTGTGTCCTTGCTCAAATAACCAGGCACTGTAACCAGTACCTGGGGAAATACTTCTAATGAAGTTTTCCTCGTTTCTTGACTATTTGGAGAATTTAATTAATTCACATTTTTGTGCCCTCATAAAGCTGATACATAAATTCTCTTCCCAGTGACTCTAATTGCATGTCTTTGCAGCTTTTCTGTTAACGAGTCCTCACTCCTTAAAATGGAAACTAGATGACGGCTTCTATTTGATTTTAATGTTGTAAATAGACTGTTGGATCAGGCGGCTCTCAAACATTTTCACTGTGTGGTCCATATATGAAAAGAGAGATTGTCTCATGGACTACAACCCCTCTCACATTCCCAATAGCATTGACCACCTCCTCCTTCTCACATCCGCAATCACATCACATCTCTGTAGCAATTGCTTACATGAAAAAATGATACCTGGAAAGAATTTCATTCTTAGCTGTATTACTGAAATTTAATAGATGGTAATGAGGAGGAACCAGCATAATGTAATCAGCCAGCTCTCTAGCGACTAGCACAAAGAGCTCCATAGACTGCAGCGAGAAGCTTGTACCCTAGATATATATTTTGCTGTATGTTGGGATTGTTGCAGTTTGTGTTATCAATTTACTGGTATCTTTTTACATGGCTGCTGGGGAGGGGGAAAATATTTTCCTCTGCATACACAGATGTTTTGAAACAGAACAGAGATAACATCTGAGAAAGCCCACCTCATTTCAGACAAAAGGTGTGGATGAGAATCTAGCAATTGGAAGGGGACTAATCAGAGTCTTTGATCTTTCTCACAGCCACAGCCATCCCCCACCCCCATCCCTACCTCCACCTCACTCACCTGCAGAATAATTCTGAGAAATAACTGAGAATGGGTAAGAAAAATTGAAAAGTAACATACAGAGAGAGGTGGTTGTTTCAAAAAGCTTGTCTACTACCCAAGAGTTTATTGGGAATATCTCCCAGCATTGCAATAGTGCTGGTGAATCTTCACTGGTGAGCCCTCGGAGAACTGGTGTAGTGAGGACAATAGCATTCACTAGCATGTTACCACCATGTCTTCGAGACCTGCTCTGAGCAGGATTAAGTGACACCATCATAAAAACACCAGCACTAGCACTGCTGCACTTGGTGTCCTTGGTGGGGCTGTACTGATGTTAGTGCAACAGCAGGAGGTTTAGACGGTCCCCTCTGGTGTGATCCGGACCAGTGATCTGCTAGGTCACTCCAATCCTTGATTCAAGGAGCCAGTCTTACCTTTCTCTACTGTGAGAACCCCTACTCCTGGAGTGTTCACACACACCCTCTGGCATATAAACTGCTCCTTGGATTGTGCCATAGTCTAATCATGATACATAATAACTTGCACTGGTGTTGCACTTTCCATCCAAGAATTTCAATGTACTTTAATGCATTAAGTTTCAGTGTCTATGTGAGGCAGGTATTATTCACAGCAAGAGAAACTGAAATGCAGAGAGGATAAGTGACTTGATCATGCAAGAAAGGGTGCGGAGATTCAGGGGGCAGAGTCTCATGAGAAAGAGGAGGAGCTGGGGTGGGGTCACAGTCTTGGTGCTGGTCACCTCCCACTTCTACATAAGTTCCAGCACCCCTGTGGGGGCCCCCAAAATTGACCAGTGCCCTGGGCATGGGTCCCATGGGCCCATGCATTAATCCACTACTGAGTAGAGCAGAAGAATTACATTTCATGTTTAGTTACCACACTCCTGCTAATACACCCATGACTGACGTTCAATTTTATTGCAATAGTGTTACACTGTTGACTTGTATTTAACTTGAGATTCACTATGACTCCCAGATCCCTTTCCACAGTACTCCTTCCCCGGCAGTTATTTCCCCTTTTGAATGTGTGCAATTGATTGTTCCTTCCTAAGTGGAGTACTTTACATTTGTCCTTATTGAATTTCATCGTATTTACTTCAGACCATTTCTCCAGTTTGTCCCTTTTGAACTTTAATCCTATCCTCCAAAGCATTTGCAACACCAGGAAGGGCAGCTGTTTAACCCAATCCTTTTGTAGCAGCCAAGATAACCCATGCTCATACCAACTGGGATCACCCTAATGCATCACCACTCAGACAGTTCAGTGATGAGCGATAAATGACAATATAAAATAGGATATGGTAGGCAGTAAACTACCAATGGTTTCTGTGATGGATTGTAAGGACTGGTCATAACCTCCTCACTTCTAGGCCCTAGGAGCAGTGAATAAAAGAGAAATAGAAGAATCATCCTCTCTCCTCCTCCTGTTCTGACTTTCAATCTGGGCAGCTCCAGTCCCTGAAGACTCCATCTGCAATAAGCACGCTATAGGGTCCTCCCGGTTCAGTTGTGTGGTCAGTCTGCCCAGGTGGCATCCCCACAAAGCTACTGAGCATGCTGCAACCTGGTGCTTCAGGGGCTGAGCAGGACTTTCCTTGTAATTGCTGCTCAGTGTTGCCAACTTTGGTAATTTTTCGCTGCCTTGCCTCGTTTTGGAAGGCCTTGGCAGCAAACCTCCCCTGCACATCCCAATAACCCTTTAGTTGGCGACAGGTGACTTTTTGGGTGCTCTCTGGGCGATTCAGATGGGCCCTGTCTCTGCTGCCATGGGTGCCCTTTGTGAATGAGCAGCCACCACGGTGCGTGCACAGCTGGGTGGGGAGGCAGCCAATGGAGAAGTGGGGGCAGGGTATAAACCCAGAATTGTCCCACGTGCGAGTAAGATGCGGTTGCTGCCATGACACCTCCATGGAGTGCACAGGGGCCAGAAGCGGCTCCAGGCACCAGTGCAGCAAGCGTGTGCCTGGGGCGGCAAACCGCGGGGGGCGGCCTGCCGGTGGCATGCCTGTGGAAGGTCCGCCGGTCCTGCAGTTTCGGCGGCAATTCGGCGGCGGTTACGCCGAAGCCATGGGACCAGCAGATCACCCGCAGAAACGCTGCTGAATCCACGTGACCGCGGATCGCCCACAGGCATGCCGCCAAAGGCTTCCTGACTGCCGTGCTTGGGGTGGCAAAAAACATAGAGCCGTCCCTGACAGGGGCAACAGCTCCCAGCGCCTGTTTCATCCAGTGGATGGGGGCACCTTTTCCCTCCTACCACCTGGAGCTATTTCCTCTGCTGCTTTGTGCCCCTCCCCCAGCACAGCACCAGTGAGAGAGGGGAGAGGCTGAGTATGGCCTGCCCATAGCCACCGCCATGATTCTAGATATGATTTTATCCTGGTAAAATTATGCATAATTCACAGCACCGTCATGGTAAAAACAGATCAAGTCACTCCATGGTCATGGCCACCTTTGGACCCACTGGCTCAAAGTGAAGTCACGACCTGTTAATGTGTGTCAAAGTGACCTAACTCTCTGATACCGTGTGGCAGCAGTGGCCATGTAATGGGCAAAGTTCCCTTCCTGTGAGAGTGGTGACAACTGTGACATAGCTGTATCCTTAGCCATCATGCTTGTTTGCTTTCAATACATGTGAGGAAGAGGAGGAGGGAGGAGGTGGGGGAACCAGGAAACAGACCCTGGCAGACACTGGAGAGAGCAGTGTGAGAAGGGGATGCTGCAGCCAAAGGTACAGGGAGGAGGAAGGGCCAACAGCAGCCTGTGTGTGTACATCCTTTGGGGGTTACTGGCGGGGGGGGGGAGGAAAGGAGGGGGGAAAGCGACTATGTTACTAGAACTCCCAAAAGTCCTGGATTTTGTGGGACTGTCCTTTGACCCCCACAATCCCCTGTTTCCCCAGGCCCCGCCGCAAGTGGCATCGTGACCTAGTGCATGGGGTCATGGCACCACTTAGGTTTGGCTCATCTGCCCCTCCATCTCCAGAGCCCACTTTAGCCACTGGAAAGGTTGGGACGTATGCACTAGAGCCCTGCGGGGAGGAGGGGAACAGTGTTCCTGCTGGGGGAGGGGAGTGTGGAAGGAGCAGTGTTACCAACCTCAGCGATTTTGGGGGCTACTTTTCACATGTGTTTGCCAAAAGCGAAAGTTTTGAGGCTGACAACACTGTTGCTGCTGCAGGCCACTTTAGCACCAGATGTAAGAACAAGGACCTGCTCTTTTCTGTGTAATCAGTGCCTCCCCAGCCCCTCCGCTAGCACCCAGGCGGTGAGGAGGAGGAGGAAGCAGCCTGACTGAGAATGCAGAGGGGTGAGGAATGTGTGTGTGGGTGTGGGGGGGGGGAACACAGGGGGAGACAGGTGCAGGAGCCAGAGTGTGAGAAGCAGCAGAATGGGAGGGGGAATGGTTATCAGAAGTCGGCAGGGGAGGGTGAGGGGAAGAAGTGGGGTATAGGAAACAGTATGGGGAGGAGGGGACAGGTGGGACAACAGAGAAGGAAATGGACTGGAGGTAACAGGTGGTGGATAGGACTAAAGGGAGTGGCAGAGGAGGCATATCAGTGTGTATAGGCATGGGAGGAGGATATAAGATGTGTGGGAGGATAGGCGCAGAAGGGGATGGGGCAGAAGATGGAGGATGGGGGAGGATAGGAGCTGAAGGGGAGGGGTGG